TAAGGTTGTTAACAGACTATAAAGAGATACAAATTGTATTGAAAAAGTTTATGGATTTGATTCTGTTTGAACTGACCCAATTCAGAGAAGATATTCTTAAAGCAGTTTACTTCAAACAAACACGAATTAGTGCATACGGAATGGAAAACATATTGATAACCATTTATTATCTAGGAACTATGTGGTATGCACGTTGTGGAAGATGAACGAACAATGTCACTGTTTGTGATAATTTTTGTTAATATTTAAGGATAGCGATGATGACGGGCCATACAACGTGCTAGGTGAGGAACGTGATGTAACGAAAGGTATGGCCGCAATGGTGAAGTTGGCTGCAGAAAAGGGGTATTTGGATCAGGGCAAAGAGAGAAAAGTCAATGGTCCGTCGTTAAAGCATCTCGAAAATAAACGATTCTCGCAGATTGAAGTCGGAAAATAGTAAGTGCTAAATTGTATTTAATTAATGAATAGATGAATTGTTTCGCTGTTAATATCTCTTATGGAACTGTTAGTGCTGAGTGTGATTGTGTATTATCGTTGCGGTATGAAGTGTTGAGAGTGTTTTTAATGATTGACGGATTGATTGTTACAGTGATATCGAAGAGAAGTACACAAAGAAACTGGAGCGCATGGGTACGACGGGAACAGGGCCGGTGAGACCGTTCCCGGAGAAGAGCGATTATAAACCTGACATCCGAATTACGTACATCGATGAACGTGGGCGTGAGATGGAATCGAAGGATGCATTCAGAGTGCTCTCTTGGAAGTTAGCATGATTCTTTGTTTTTTTTTTCGGTTGCTATTGGTGTTATCATTATCATCTGATTGTGAGATGATTATTGTCGTGTCTATCAGCAAACGTAGTAATATTCAAATTCCGTTATTATGTGTGTGAATGTGTTGCTATTTTTTGCGTTTTTATTCCGTAGCGATAAGTTTTCGATTTTAGAAAAGTAAAAAGCTAGAGGTTATGTATGGGTAAGTCTTCGAATGGAAGGGTTCATGGGAATAGCACGAAACTAAGAATTTTAGCTGAAAATTCGGGGTTTTTTGATGAACTGATTGAGCATGGAATG